CGAAAGGCTGGCCCGTTAACAAGGCACACTTGACTGTGAATATCGCGATTAGTTCTCCTCTACAGTTTTATGCCAATTACAATTCTGTGGGGAAAAAACAACACAAATATTGAAGAAAACTTGCAGTTGAATCATTTCTAGTATAAATGACCAACTCTAACAATTACATCCTCTAAAATGCATGAAAAGGAAAAACAATAAGTGAGAAAATTTAGCATTATTGAATTTCAACCCCAAATCTTTTTGTTTTTCTTAATGAGCTCCCTTTTGTAATGATTAGTACTGCTTATTTTACTCATTTGTTGCAAGCACTATCACCAATGGTTTCACTAACAATAAATAGTTCATTCATGAAAATATAATCACCGGCCTATAAACCACGAAGAAATAAAAAGTAAAAATAGCAAACAAACGATTTTTAAAAACTAGTGACACATGACAGATATCTATTCATTGTAAGTAAAGGTAATTATGGTTTAAGAACCCATTTTGACACCTGTATCAACACTAGGCCATGAGTACATTAACCTGTTAGCCATTATAGCAGCTCTCTTATCTCCATTGAAAGAGCATCGTACATTCCACAGAAAACATACAATCTCTGATATAATAAACATCTTTAAATGATTTCTGATATGTTATCTTAGGTCTAAACTAATTGATATGGGACTAGACTTTACTCAATAGGTCGCAAAATGCAATCACGGTATAATATAGCGAGAAGATAAAAATAAAGTTAAAAAGTAGAACTGAGAATGCGATGTACTTTGGAGTAAAAGATGGTGAGGGCGAACTTAGAAGCATGGGGGCAGATATAGTAAAATAAGCTTCTCCATGGCTTGTATATCGAAACAAAATCATACACATTAATTGAATAAAGTTTTTAAATTTGCAAATCCTTTCTTAGTATACTAAAGTGCCCTTTGAATAACCTTCGTAAAAAAATGTCGATTATAATTCTTGTTAGCCTAATGTTTTTCTTCAGTTGAAAATGGTTGACAGAATTCAGAGATAAACAATAATAATCCAATGTAAGGTTATTACCTTGAATCAACAATCTTAAAAGGTTGGTTAAAAAGCGACAGTAGGACGGATTCTTGTCCCATTATCTCGTATGTAATCTTTCCTTTTTACACATCCTTTATAGTGGTGTCCATTCAATATAGTTATTCATGTTTGACAAATAATAAAACTGACATCAAACAGTACAGACAAACTAAGATAAAAAACGTGAACGATGAGCAGGTGTGAAGTTAAGAATAAAACAGTAATGAAAGCTTAGTTCAAAGTGTACCTTCTTACTTCACCTTCACATACACGAGATAAACAGAGTATGCGCAATCAATAAWATTGAGTTATTTTCCAAATCTRATGATTCATTAGTAGATCGTTGTAATGGTTTGGCTATGTTGACTAAAAAGCCTACGATGCCGAAGTGTAGTTTTGAAAGATCAATTCAACTTTTCAGGCCTTTTTGATCCATTTAGCATGAAATGGAAGATTTCTGTTCAAAGTTAATCGTTCCTAGTCATCCATATTTACTTATGACTACCATATTCTCACAGATACGTCTTTCCCTCAAGAAAAATCATTTTTGTTGGTCTCATATATTGTCAACACATACCACAAAATCCCGAGTTAAAATATTGACGAGAAGGTATCTTCCTCTAAGTTGTCGGTCAGTCTTTGTATGAATTACCAGCCCAAAGTTGGTCGAGTATTATTCGAGGTTAAGTACAACTGTAATACAACTGTAACAAACCTTTGGACAAAGAACGGTGTTGAGAATAATTAGATTTTGTGGTAGTCTATGTATGTAATTCGAAGTTTGTAGCTATGGGAGATTTGCGTGACTTACGAAATGCTTCAAAAGACCGATGTGAGCTTGAAAAATATCCACGATCATTAACCGACTACCAAGTGAAATACATTGAAATATACGAATTACATTTATCCAGCAAAAGGTTTTTTGTTACATGAACCGCAGTGTCAAACTGCACCTTGAATTCACAATCCACGAGTTACATTGTGGTTGGAAATTGAATTCCATTCTTTGATGAGCTGAGAGGGGTTATCTGAGCACCGTTTCACCAAATTACACCAGGCTCTTTTCGTTTGACTGGACACACCTCAATTATTCGCACTCAATGGA